CCACACACGCGCACCACACACACACACACACACGGCACGCAACGCACCCACGAAAGACAACCGATGCATAGCCGCGGGCCAAAATGCCTTACACATCCTTGGCGTCCTTCACATCCATGGATTCCTTGAATTCCTTGGCGTAGTTGGCGTACTTGTCTTCGTCTTCGTCGGCGTACTTTTTGGCCTTGGCCTTGCTCTTGCTCTTGCTCAAGCTTGGCAGCACGTTGTGGCGCTTGATCATGGCCTCGCGGGCCTCGGCAATGCGCGCCTTGCCGGGGTAGTAGACCGGGGGCGGCAGGACGTTGAGATCGTTGAACGGGTGGCCGGCGATCAGGTGCGAGGGCAGGATGCGCTCGAGCAGGTTGACGGGGAAGGGCGCGATGGGGCCCAGCAGGACCACGGTCAGTCCGGTCGCGATGAGGTAGTACATCATGATCAGCGTGGCCACCTCCTTCGATAACCAGGGCGCGCTGAAGAAGACACCGTAGGGATCTACGTATGTAAACACATCATGGCGTCAGACAACACAAAACGACACGACACGACACGACACACACGACACACGACACGAGGGAGCGGACCTGTGCTGAAATAGTAGAAGAGAGAGAGGTAGACGCCCATTTTGAGGCCCAGAATGGTAGGCTTGGTGAACTCCGTGGAGCCATTGTCGCCGAGCATGACGCGCTCGACAATCACCCGGTAGAAGCTACCCGTGCAGCCTGACGACGGGGCGTGGTGAAGGTGAGTTCGCTACGATAGTGGTGTGCGTGTGCGTGCGTGTCATGTGTGTCGTGCGCGCATAGTGCGGCTCTAATTGGGGCGGGAGCGTACTAGATAGGGCGCCAATGACAATCGGACCCACCCAGACCGGTTCGGCGAATGTCTGGACGTGCGCAGGGCAAGACACGCAAAAGAAGGGGTGAGCGACGCTCCCCGCTTGCTAGCAACCAGGCAGAATTGTCACACGGTGACAAAGTCGAGCGAGCGCGCACCTTGACGGTGAGGTCAACGGCTCCAGTGATGGTCCGAGCCTTGTGCACCATCTCCAACACAGTCATCGCGAGCTGGCCAAGCCACCACCAACGTGCAGCACAAGATGGCAGGGAAAAGGAAATGAGGAAATCTGCCAATCACTAAAGATGAAAGATGCAAGCTGAGGTTGATGTAGGTACGTAGCCGGGACGAGAAGTCAGTATTCCAGGGACAACATTAGAAGAGTTGATGAGCACCCAGGCCAGGAAGTAGGTGGGAAGGGCGGTGTCCGAGGCGAGCCATTCGGCCCGCTTGCCCAGCAGCACGTAGCGCGTGGTGGCCCCGATGAGGCAGGAGCCCATGGCGAGCGCCAGCGACAGCAGCCAGGGCAGGGGGCGCACGGTGGCGAGGGTCAGCCGCATCGAGTAGCACAGGTAGAGGCTGTGGACGAAGTTGACCAGCGGCATGGGCAGGGAGACCATCACCCACCACACCGCAGTCACCAGCGGGCTGGTGGCGATGGCCTCCTCGGCCTCGGCAAGCAGGGGGTGGCTATCCATCACCGATCTCTGTCCGTGCGCCACTTGAGAAAATCATTTATTCAGAATTTCATTTGTTGCGGAATTTGTGCAGGTTTGTATTTTCTGGCTTTCCTGCTTTTTTCCTCGCCTGCACGCAATCAATCCAAAATCAAATCAACCGCGCATACAAGATGATCTACGACGTGAACTCGCCCCTCTACAAGAGCTTCCTGAGCTCCAAGGCTGGCCTCACCGCCGACAAGGCCGGCAAGTCTGCCGTGCCCAAGCGAAAGGTACAGAATAATTTAATTGATGGAAATTGTGACAATCTCTCACCTCATTGCTGCGGCGTTACAGGACGAGAAGCTGAGCAAGGGTGCCAAGATCTCTGCGCCACCACAGCCCACTTCGGCCTAAGCTGCCTGCCTCTACAGCAAGCCTGATTCTGTGGAGGTCCGCTGTTTTTCGCGCATGTAAGACCCCTGAATAAACAAGCTTGGCCATCCACCCATGTGTTCGTGTTGCTATCTACAATCTACCATCTACAGCGATCATTTGGGCATAATTCCGTAATCGATTACTTTATTACAATGTATAACCCAGCGCCTTCCCCAACGCTTCGGGTTGGATGCCAAGTGTACAAAACAGCAAGAGCGGAGGAGAGATGGATGGAGATAGTGATGAAGGAGAGGCACGTCGTCGAGGTCGCGCTGCGTAGAGTAGTAGAGACTCGCCGCCCATTCATCAGGTCGCGGCCGAGGAGTCGCTGGAGGACCAGTTGAGCTCGGACATGATGTTGTAGTCGTCCTGGTCGTCGTCCTCCTGCTCGCCGTCGCTCATCATGTCGAAGTAGCCCTCTGGTCGGTTGCGGTGTACCCAGTACATGATCTTCTTGCGGTGGCCCGTCTTGTTGATGCCCACGTGCTTGATCAGGTCCTCCTCCTGCAGCAGCCGGATCGTGTTCATGTTGTCGAAGCCCTCCATCACCAGCGGCTCGAGGTAGTCCGGCACGGGTAGCTTGAGGGAAGCCAGCCAGTCACAAATCTCATGAAGGTCGCTCTCGACAAGGTACTCCTCGTTCCTCCTTCTCGTCCGCTGCTGTTGATGGCCGCCGTGGCCCTCTGCCGACGCCTCGTGGACCCGCTTGGCCACCTCCGCCACCAGCTTCTCCTGCTGCGGGCTGTGCTGCACCACCATCGCCGCTGCCGCCGCCCGGCTCGCCTCCTCCTCCTTCCCCTTGGCCCTCCCTGCGCTCGCCGGTGATGGCGATCGGTCATCACCATCACCATCACCATCACCATCATCGCCACGCACGAGAAGAAACGACAACACAACCGCGGTTCAGTCAGCGAGTGCCAAATACAATCAAAACGAAACGTTCGTGTAGAGATGCAAAGGTCGATGACGAGGAGAAGAGGAGAAGGAGGGAAAAAAAGATGAAGATGAAGATGATCAAAGTCGAAAACGTAGCGGACTTAAAAGAGGAAAGGAGATTGGGGGGAGCGTACCGGCTGCGGCTGCTTCTTTTGATACATGCGCATGAGGAGCTGCTGGGCGGGGGACATGGCGGCGTTGCCGTTGGCCATCTCCTCCTTGGTCGCCTTGCCCCTACGCGTTCCCACCTCCGAATCGCTGTTGCTTGCGCCCTTCCCGTTTGCCGCCATCCCTCGCCCCTTGGTCGATGATGTTGAAGATGAAGAGGGGGCCTTGCTGCCCTTGTGCTCCCATGGGACCTTGGGTCCGACGATCTTCACGTCGTAGTTGATGTCCGCGTTCTTCTTCGAGAATGAGACGCCCCCGTTGCTCGAAGAAGATGAAGATGCCGAGGGCATGAGGAGGGGCGGAGGGGGCGTGTAGGTCGTAGGGCGCACGTGGCCCCCGACCTGGCCGGTTCCTCGTCTTCGTTCGCGATCCTTCCGTCGCTCGGCCCTAATCTTGCGTCGTCGCTCCCTTATCTTCTCCTTCTCCGCTTGGGCTTGCATCACCACGAGCAGCGGGTTCCGTACTGTCACCGTAGCTCCATCTTCCGTCGTAGACGACATCATCTTCGCGTTGTTTTCGCTCCTATGCTTCGTGTTTAGCTCCTACGATGGGGGGGGGGGCTAAATCGAAAGAACGAAGCCTTCGATCTTCTTCGCCCTCGCGAGTGCGTTTGGTTGTTTTATAAAGCGTCCCTTTTTTGAGTACTCTCCACAGCTCCACCTCCCGGACCTCCTCCAAAATAAATCGTTTTACAGTTCGACTACTTGATATTCGTTGTACAAGTCGCAGGCCGCCCGCCTCCTCAGTATTCCATCCACTTGCTGCCTAGTGTCCTGTGCGGGCAGACCAACGCCACTTCGCTCTTTTCTCTCTGGCCCTCTTTTCGTTTTGCGTTGGCCTCCCAAATTACATCTGGCCAAATGGTCGGATATTACACGGATTCGACGCACGAAAAATAGCGTAACTAAATTTTTAGGAAATAGCGAGGCTGGCCAAAGGCCGGTGGCTCGATACTGGTGCCAACCACCATTGTTGGCCGAAGATTGCGGTTTAGCTACGTTGGTCTGTTGCATGCCACACGTTATTCTCACGAATCTCCGACCAGAAAAGGAGCTTTGCTGTTCAGTTCACCCGGCCCGAAGGTGGCCCGAAGTGCGTGATCTTCGTGCTTGTTTTCTAACGCGGCGTTTTGTGCAAACCACCCGGAGAGTTCTCATTCCTTACACCAACTAAACAGCTGCATGCCCCGCGTGAGGCTTACAACAATGGGCCGGTTGATCCCCTTGACCATAGCTTTGCTAGCTCTAGGGTGCGTGGTGCGGGAGACCGCAGGCCTTCCCTGGGAACACGTCCACCGCGCGTTGCTTGAACCGCGCATCCAAAGCACCGCCGCTGTGAGTTCCCTCAGCAAGCGCGGCTCCACCCTGCCTGAGTGTCCCACCCACCCTCGTGCAGTGAGTCAGGCCTTCATCAACCAACGTGTACGTGGCTAAGAACTCACCACCATCAACACACAGGCCTGATTACACAGCTAGATCTGTCTTGGTTCACACCTTTTCTATTTGGCCTGATGTGCTACAATTTTCAGTACATGCCAGATAGGCTGCGCAAGGCCATCGCGAACATGGACGCCTCGTTCCGCTCGCTGGTTGAAGCGGCGAGCATCCAGGCGGCGTCGGTGGGCCTCGTATACGACCAGGAGCTCATCTGGCAACAGGGCTACGGCCTGGTCGACTCCTCCGACCCCTCCTCGTACCACCACAGATGTCACACCACCACCCCAGCCACCGATCGCTCACACAACGTGGTCGTGGTCGTTGTGGGTGATCAGGTTAGCCGATGAGAACACGATCTACCGCGTGGGGTCCATCACCAAGCTCATCACCAATCTCATGCTCTTTCAGCTGCGGGACCAGGGCAAGCTCTCGCTGGACGACCCCGTCAGCGTACGTCGCCGCTGCATGAGCATGCTGGGTGTACGCACCAATGCACACTGATCTTGCGATCGGGGGAGCAGAAATATGTGCCCGAGCTGACGTGGCCGACGCCCTACAAGAACAACCCGGGCATCACCTGGCGCACTCTCGCCGGCCAGACCAGGTACGTGTACTACCCAACGCGCGCACCGTCTCGGTCCTATTTCAAACCAACCTCGCGGGGCCGCGCTGGCAGTGGGCTCACGGGCGCGACGCCATGCAACTTCTTCACCCTCCTGGAACCGATTCTGGGCGACGCCTGCGACATCTCCAACGCCGAGGCCTGGAAGCGAGTCACTGCCGAACAGGTGCGTTCTTTGCTCATCAGGCGTGGTATGGCGGTGATTGTGATTTTGATTGTTCGATGGCGATTGTCGCGCCCAGCCCACGGCGCCTATGTGGCAGGACCCCCACTACGCCGACGGCGCCTACGCGATCATCGGCCGCGCGCTGGAGTCCCTCGTGGGCATGTCCTACGAGGACTACGTGCACCAGCACATCTTCAAGCCTCTCGGTACACCTGACCGAGCTCCCTATTCTGTCTTGCTCCGCGGACTCACGCTACCGGCGCATACGTAGGGATGGACAGCTCGTACATGGGCTACAGCGCGTGGTCCGACATGGCCAAGCGGGTGCCGCCGGGCAAGATCGGAAACATCACCTTCCCCTCGTTTGTGTCGCACGTCGACCTCAACTGGGCACGGCCGACCGGAAACGTACCTTGCACGGCACACCCACGCGCTCTCGCTGGGGCCACATGCCGATGACTCAACGATGCGATGGTGCGGGTTCAGGTGTACTCGACGGTGAAGGACCTGGCCAAGCTGGTGTCGCTGTTCATGGTCGGCCAGGACGAGCGCAAGAACGCGTTGGGCATCTACTCAAGCACGCTGCGCGAGATGCTCACTTCGTCGTTCATCAACGACGAGCAGGTGCACCCACCTTCTTCACCAGCGCCCAGCGTCATCTGGCTGTCGAGGAGCTAACTCGGTTCACCACCACGATCGCCTCCTGCCAGACCACGGCGTATGGGTACCCGTTCGAGGTCTACCACAGCAGCGCCTTTGGCCAGGGCTTGCCGCCCTACTGGGTTCGCGTCAAGGCCGGCAGCATGCCGGGCTACTTCACCATCCTCGTCTTCTTTCCCGAGGTCAAGACTGGTACCGGCCACTTTTATGTCCGAGCGCGTCGCGCCAACCGAAATCTTCAACCATCATCACCATCATCATATCATCTCACCATCTTCAACAACCACGTCTTCTCGTGTGGTGCAGCATTGATTCTGCAGAGCAGCGGTTTCGTGATGCCGTGGGCGGAGGCGATTGCCGAAGTGCTGCCGGCCATCGACCAGAGCCTGCGGGAGCTCCAGCCCCTGCCGACCAACCCAGGCAACCTCACCAGCTACGCTGGGGTCTATCTGGCCTCCGTTCTCGGCGGGTTCGTTCATGCATGACCGCACATGCCCGATCGCACGCGCACTCATCACCGCACACGCGTGTGTGCAGATTAATGGGAGGCAACGTAACTGTGTTGGTCGATCAGCCCAACAACCAGCTCGTTCTCTACTTCTCCATCAGCGGTACGTCATTCAACAACGTTGTTGAATGGCCTTTAGGGCCTGCGCCCTGACCTCGCTCTTGGGCGTTGGCGGGTGGTGGCCAGGCACGGGCTTGGGCGACTCCGCGTTGGGCGTGAAGCAAGCGGTGTGGGAGTACGGCAACTCGTTCCGGCTGTTGGCGTCCGACCCCACGGCCTCGTGCCTCAACGTCGAGAGCGGGTTCACCAACGTGCTGGTCCACTTCGAGGTCAGCAAGCCCTCCTGGCTTGGTGGCCCCACACGTGTCGTGTCGGTCGAAGTACCCTCCGACCCCTTCTACGGCTGGAACTTCGCCAAGCAGTGAATCAAAGAGATAATAGAAATAAAATATGGACATATAAAATGTGTGTTATTAAATTAAGTATTAAATGTTGGGCATGAGGTAGATCACTTGGTCTTGGTGGCGGTCTTGGCCTGCTGGGCCTTCCTGAAGGCGAGGATGTTGCGCGAGGCGCTGTTGACGATGCGCTTGTGCAGCTCTGGCTTGTAGCCCAGCATGAAGAGCACCTCCAGCCACACGAACATGGGCGCCAACACCAGCGCTGTGGTGTGTGTGTGTGTGTGTGGTCGTGTGTGGTCGTGTAAGTGTGGTCGTGTGTCGTGTGTGTCAGCACTCACCAGCGCGCCAGAGTTTGATGGTGGTGGTGCGGTACACTGCACAAAGCTGTCCAAGAGCGCAGGGGCACGCTTCTCGGCAAGGCCATGGCCCAGGAACTGAGCGATGTGGAGCGTCAGCACAAGCACCACATAGTACGCAGAAAGAGAAACGACACACGACACACACACACACACACGCAACAAACAATAGACTAACCTGGAGGATCCAGCACACCACGTGGATGGCGAGGGCGGTGGTGTGGGGGTTGGCCGCCGTCTGGGCGTAGTGAGTGGCCGTGTAGGCCAGACCGTACAGGATAGGCAGGTACAGCGACTAGTAAGCGCGCACACCGCACCGCACGCACCGCACACACACGTCAAGCAGAGGTGAGTTGTTGGGGCGAGGGGAAGGGGGTGGAGAGGGAGCGGCGACGTACGCCGGCGACGGGCTCGAGGATGACGTAGAAGGCGGCGTAGACGGTGATGACGAGGAAGGCGCCGTTGACGACGAACGGACCACAGGGCAGGTGGCCGAAGCTCAGGTCGAGGCCGGGCACGAGCGGGCCAACCGCGCCCGCCACCCACACCAGCGCCGTCCACAAGATGATGGGCACGCACACGATGTGGATCCACTGATTTCTACAGATAAAAAGATATGTAAAATACAACTGGGAAAGAGCTGAGACGACAAGAGATTGGAGCGTGTGTGTACATTTTGTTCATGTGGTAGGGCGCGTAGGCCTCCATCTGCTTCTCGAGATTGAACAGGCTTCCCATCTTGTCTGTGCTTCTTGGCGAAACAAAGAGAATAAAAAGGCTTGTAAAATAAGAAATGGCGCATTAAAAAATAACCGTAAACCGGCTATGTCGCAAAGATAGCTTGATTGGCCGATTCTAAGGGCTGCTTCGGTTCGGGAGAACATACCCCAGACCCCCAACAAGAAGTGCGCAAGCTCTCAGCTCTTTGTTTTATTGTTGGTTGGTTGGTAGGTGCCGTTGTTTACTTTCCCATTTGTTTTGTTTTTAGGGAGTGTAGGAGGAGTCGCTGTCCTTGAGGTCCTCGCGATGAATGTGGCTGTCCTCGGGCGGCGGGCCGTGGTAGCCCTGGTGCAGGATGTGGTACGGCCTCTCGTGGTCGAACACCGACGGCCCCGCCGCGGTCTCGTTGCCCAGTCGCCTCCAGTCGGCCTCGGCCGCAAAGTCCTCCTCTTGCAGTTCGTCGATGGTGCCGGCATTGGCCGGGTCGGCAGAGGCGTGGATGATCTCATCGCCCACGGGGGTTTCGTTGACCTCCTCCTTTTGGCCCGGCTCGCCCACCCCCCCGCCGGTCACCAGAGACGACGGCGACCACAACTGCTCGCCCGTCTTGGACATGTGCTTGAAGTTGCCGCCCTCGCCGCCGCTGCCGTGCTCCTGCTTGTGCTGGTCCTGGACGACGTTCATGCCCTCGCGCTGGCCCGGCGCCAGGTCGGAGGCTGTGGATGAAGAGAAGTTGAAGAGGCTTCGCTGGCCTGCGCTGGGGGCTTGCCTGCTAAAAATCTTGCTGAGGCTCTTCATGTTGACGTTGGTGGTGGTGGTGGTGGTGAAAGAGAAGAGGCGTTGATTGCTGTGATAAGGGTGGTGTGGTGGTTATGGCTGCTGCGCTAAGCCAGGACGTGCTGCCGAATGATGTTGGTTTCTTTTTGAATAAAAAGAGAAGGTGGTGATGGGCTCTATTTATCCTGGTGAAGGGGTGAGACACAGCCTGGAACTGGAGGAGCGGCCAGACGCGTCGCTGAGCACTGGTGGCAGGTGGCGGAGATCAGTGGACAGCGCAGGCATTCGGGCGAGTTCCTGGTCAGAGACTCTCCACCCAACAGGCAGAAAGCAGCCGAAAACCGGTAGAACAGATCTAGCGGCCTCATTGGCCAATCAATCGGAATGTGCAACATTCTGATCATTCCTGCTTTGGAAGAAACAGGTCGAGCCTGTTCATCACCCCCCCCCAAACTTCGTCTTCGTTCTTTCCCTCACGGCAGAGGGAGTGGAGTGGACCCGTGGAGTATCGCCCGACAACCTTCATCTGAAAGAGACGACTGGCCAAGAATGACACGTGGTTGTTGTAAGATTGTGTTTATTGGCGTGAAACACGAGAGTTTGGGATGGCTGGGGCTGCATTAGGGCTTGATCTCAGGCCCGCCCTTTCGCTTGAGGGGCATCGTCCCTTCGAGCGCTTGCACGGCTCCCTCCATCACCTCCCCGATCGCCTCCGTGGCGCTCTCGCTGAGGCCCATCTGCTCACCACCAACCACACCACCCACTTAGCTGCAGTGCTTCCACAGACAGCGTGCCACACACATCCGAATTCGCGCAAATGTCGACCGCACGACACGCACACAAGAAAAACACGACACCCACGCAAGCCTGCCTCAGCTTCACGCACCCCTTCAACGTCGGCCATTTCGCTTTCGCGCTTCTCGACCCCCTGCCAGGGCTCGTGAAAGCGTCGCACGGTCTCGTCGTCGAGCTTGGGGCTGAGCTTCTGCTGGTCCTTGTACTGCTGCGCCGCGACCCGCTGCTCCTCCTCGAGCGACATGACCCTGCCCTTCTTGTCGCCCGTGTCGTAGGACACGGTCCGCGCGCCCAGCACCGCCGCCTGGCGCTGTACCAAGCTCGTGGTCATCATGATGCGTCTGGTGCCCTGCTTCAAGGTGAGTCTCTGCATTCTTTTCTGAAGTTGGTTGAGAGTTGGTCGGTGGGTATTGTGGTGCGTGTTGTCGTCGATGTTGTGCTTTTAGTTAGAGTAAGGAATGGTGTAGTTGGCCTGGGGGCATCTTCTTGTATCGTCTTTTGGGGGGGGGGAGGTTTGGAGATGGCCGAGTTGGCCGCAGACCTGGCGGATTTCCCTTCGCTTTTGCCTCCGTCGCACCAGGCCTACCTTGAAATTTCCCAGTGCAAGCTGCTCAGCGACGTCGCGCGGAAGTGAGCCACTCGAGTAGACCCACGAGCTTGTGCTGCGGTCTTCTTCATGTTGCCAACTCCAAGAGGGTCGCACTAGGGCGGCCAGGGAAGAGACAGTACTACTCGTGTTCAGTGTTTTTTCGAGTCCAGGGACACGACAGGCTCATCGCCCACCACCTCGGCGGTGTGGAGGGCTCCGGCGGGGACCTGTGAGCTGTCAGGCCGGCAAGGACAGAAAGCAGCGTGAAGCTTAGATAGTGTGGAAGGGAGGAGGATGGTACCAGCAGGCAGTACCCAGCCTCAAGCACGAATGTGTTGCCAAACATGGTCATCTTGAAGCGACCAGACACCACCGCGTCCTTCTTCTCCACCTTATGCGTGTGTGGAGCGAAGTAGGTGCCTGTACAGCACACGCACATACGCGCCCATCAGATCTCAAGCTTCGAAGAGGGGAGTCGCCTCGCGCACCTGGAGGGTACGTGTATTGGGACACCGAGTAGCCTTCAGCCTCCAGCTTCTTGCGCATGTTCTCTGCAGTCGGTGGCCCGCCCCACCTCGCCTCGTCCCAGTGCCACCTTGGTCGTCTCCGCCATCTTTTACGCTCAAATCTTTTTTGTTTTATTTATTTATATTTTGTTTTATTTGGTACCAGTTCCCGCCAATTTCTTAGGGCTTGCGCACAGAAAAATAAAAACAGAAAAGAAGAAAACAGGGGACAATAAAAATCTTGATCAATTACAAACCTAGCCCGATTCGACCTGCACCTCAGAGTCCAGCCAGCGCGAGGCCCTTGCAACACAACACGACATCATGCAGGGACAATCGCGGACGAAATCGAGCCTCTTCAATCTGCCTGCTCAATTTTGGCAGCGAATGGCCATAAAGATGGCGCAGAAGGAGGCGAAAGGTGGTACAATAGTGAGAGGGGACCTGGATGCCTGCCCACCGGAGGAGAATGTGGAGGATGCGGAACGAAGGCAGATGATGGAGGAGGCAAAGGAGAAGGGGCTCACCTGCCGCACCTGCGATCAATTCTTCTCCTCGCTTGAAGCCCAGCAGGCTCACTTCAAGGGCGAGTGGCACCTCTTCAACCTCCAACGCATGCTGGTCGACCAGGCGAGGGTCGATGAGGCCACCTTCACCGCGCTACGCGACGAATCTCTCCTCCAGCAATCCGTGGAGGGCGAAGACGAAGACGATGCAGAGTATGGAAACGCGAGTAGTGACAGCAGCAGCGAAGACGAAGATGGAGCCGCCAGCAACCAGTCTCGGAGGAACAGGCCCGAGAAGGGACCACGGATGCGGGTCACCACGAGCGATGGTCGTGTGATCAGCTTCTGGCGTGCCATTCTGCCTTCACGCGACTTGGAGGACGGCTACTTCAGTCTCACCGCCAGCCAGGAGCAGGGCAGGTAGCTTTTGCAAACCATTTATTTATATTATTTATTTGTATTATTGTTATTATTTGTTTTGTATTTGTCTTGTTAGATTTATTTATTTGTATTTATTTGTACACAGCCCGCAGCTGCAGGAGGTGGTGCGCGGGCTGGGCGATGCGACTTCGCGGGTGTGGGTGTACCTCATGTGCAGCGGCGGCTACTTTGCCGGCTCTGTCTTTGATGGCAACAAGGTCATCGCTCACAAGGTAGGACTTCTTTCTTACTCCCTGGTGTCGGGTGCAGCGCTGATCAGCTGACGATGATGATGCGATGTCATCGTTGCGTGGCTGGCAGACGTACCGTCGGTACACGGTGCGCCGGAAGCAGGGCGGCAGTCAGTCTTCGCGCGACGCCCAGGGCAACAAACCCAAGTCGGCCGGAGCGTTCATGCGACGCTACCACGAGGCCCAATTGCAGCGGGTACTACTCACACCCCGCAACCACCGTCGACCACTCACTCGCGCTGGCGAGTGATTGCTGTCCACACACACGACACACAACACACTAAATTGATTCGCGCAGGAAATAAGAGAGCTGCTAGCTAAGTGGAAGCCCTATTTTGACGCCAGTGCTCTCGTGTTCTACTACCTGCCCGGCGGCGGCATCAATCGTCACATGTTCTTCTACGAGGGCAGTCCTCTGGGCACCAAGAAGGGACGGGGTCGGGTACCTCATTGACCGACCCGCACACGCACACGCACAACCGCACACGCACGCACCCCATCGCACACGGCACGACCTCTTGTCAGGCGCTGATGTGCTCGGTTGCCTCTATTTTTCCAGGGTGCGAATCCTAAGCTGCGGTCAATTCCGTTCCCCATTGAGCGGCCGTCGGTCACCGCCATTCAGAAGGCGCACGAGATCCTGTCCACCATCGAAATCGAAGACGAAGAGCAGCACGACCCCGTCGTCGAACCGGTGCTCCCGCAGGCGACAACGCCCGCCAGGCCCTCGTACGCTCACCTCTCGCGCATAGACATAACACACACACACAACACACACAACACACACGATCGCTTACATCGCGCACTGCTTTTGTGCACATGACGCAGCCCGGAGACCGATACAACCAGCGGGGTGGAGCAAGTGGACCACCGACCACTCGCTCATAGCCAAGAAGGGCGAAGCGACGAGGAAAGGAAAGAGGAAGAGCAAAGAGCGGAAGCGGAGATCATCGACGCCGTGCGCGCCAACGATGCCCGCCTTATCGAAGAGCTTTTTGAACGCGTCGCTGGTAAGTCGCGTGCGTGTGCGTGGCGTGTGTTGTGCGTCGTACGCTGCTCACACAACACTTTTTTTTGATTTCTAACCCGCCAGACACCGACCTGCTGATCGGTGCCGGATCGAGCGATCTCACCCCGCTCTACGTCGCATGCGAGCTGGCCAACGCCGATCTCGTAAACCTGCTTCTGAAGAAGGGACAACCCATCAACACTCGGGTACGGACCCAAGAGACACGCGGCGTGTGTCGTGCGTGTCGTGTGTGTCGTGTGTGTGTGTCACACGAGCTCACTGTAGAGGCCGGGCCTGTCTGCAGATACCCGGCTATCACTACTGGACGGTGCTGCACCGAGCGAGCGCCGACGGGAACATCAAGCTGGTGAATCTCCTCTTGGCCAACGGCGCCGATCCCACCATCCGAGGCCTCATCAGCAAGACCCCCTACGACCTAGCGCCCAACAAGGATACTCGCAACGCCTTCCGACGGTACCGCGCACGACGCACACACACACACACACCAACACACACACACA